GGATTACTGTTCTCCATCCCAAACTTCTCCAGAATGTCCTTCGCAAACTTGGTCTGACGCATCGACACTTTCCAGCAGACACGTCTTGCTCGATTTCCATGCCAAGGAAATACTTGAGGTGGTCCAAGTCCGTCATGTCGAAGCGTTCACTTAGCGCCATCTTCATCGACTTGAGCAACTCGTCGTTGTTGCTTGCAAGGACCAGATCGTCGACGTAGAGTGTCACGAAGATCATGTCTTGGTCATCCCACTTGACGTAGATGCAGTGATCGGCCTCACACACCAGCTCAATCCAGCATGAACTTGTCCATGGTCTGGTTCCACATTCGCACTGGCTGCTTCAGATCGTAGAGCGAGTGCTTGAGATGGCAGACGTAATCCGGGCAGTCTTCGTCCGTGTAGCCGTCGGGCTGCACCATGTAGATATCTTCGTCAAGTAGCCCGTTCAGGAACGCCGTCTTGATCTCCATCTGGTGCACCGTGAGGTTGTTCTTGGCCGGCAGACTGATCAGAGTCCTGATCGACGTGAACTTGGCTACCGGCGCAAAGGTTTCGTCATAGCCGACGCCGTACTTCTGCGAAAATCCATTGGCCACGAGTCACGCCTTGAATCGCTCGACCTCTCCCGTTTGGTTCGCCTTGGTGCGAAACACCCACCGACAACCGATTGCCTTCCGACCTCGAGGCAGTGGTACCAACGACCAGGTCTTGTTCTTGCGGAGTGAGGCGACTTCTGAGTTGCACGCTTCCTTCCACTTGGCCGCGTTGCTGGATTCCATCGCCGACTTGAACGTGGTCGGCATTTCAGACCGACTTTGTCGCTTACTCCGTGGGGTCTCCAGTGCTTCCTCCAACGACTGCGTTCGCTGGTGTCTCTTGCTGCCGGGCTCAAAATCTTGACGCGGCGCAATGTCTTCCATCGTCTCATCTTTGGACGATGTTTATTGGTCCGTGGACTCTTCTTCTTATAACTCCAGGATGACTTCTTCATCGAAGACATCTTCCATGAACTGCGCGTCACGGCTTACGAGCACGCGGCCACTCTTGATCTCTTCGAAACGATACGCTTTCTCGTGCTCCGAGTACCCGAGAAACCGGCACTTCACTGCCCGAGTGTCGAACTTCAGGCGTTTCTGCTTCGGAACAGTCACATATGCATGACAACCGAAGACCTTCAGGTTCGCCAGCAGTGGTTTCTTCTCGGTCCAGACATGGTGTGGGTCGCCACTTGTCATGGCTGATGGCACGTGTTGGGCAACGGTTGCGTAGGAATGTAGCTGTCATTACCGCTTCACCCCAGTACGGCTTGGTCAAACCGGCATGCTCCAACATGCAGCGCACACATTCCACCAGCGTTCGGTTCATCCGCTCGGCAACACTATTTCGTTGAGGCGTGTACGGGGGCGTGACCTTCTGCGCAATACCACGGTGCTTACAGAACTTGACCATTTCGCCAGACGTATATTCGCCGCCGTTGTCGCTACGAAGCGTCTTGACAACTTTGCCGGTCTGAGTTTCCGCGAACGCG